TTTAAAGGTCTTATAACGCATGCTGGCTAGGAACGGTACCGTGCATTCTATATTACAAAGCAGTCTGGCTTTTTTCATCTCTCTGTACACTTTGGGACTAAATGAACTCATGAGTCCACTATACATGCTTATGAAAGCCCACTTAAAACAGCGAACAAAATCACTCTGAAGCTGAAACAAGTCAAGACACTGCTCATCTCTTACAGATTTACCTAGTATGGACTCCTTTACGAACTGTGTATGTTTTCTTAACTCTACTTGGTAACAAGCAATACTGTTTATAATAATAACATCTTTGGTCTACAGATGAACCTGCTTGAAAAGCAATAATGTTTTTCAACACTGTAAATGAGCTCTAAGCAGAAACTAACATTCAAAAGGAATTGCAGTTCCTATCACACTTCCACTTTATTGCAAATACCAGTCACACAAAACCCAAAATCTACCTCTAAAGAGCCTTGCATTACTTTACGAAAAGAAATTGAAGGTCTAGACAAAAACAGAATGCAGATTTTGATAGCAATGTTACAGAGTTCATTAAGCTCTACTTCAAAAGGTTTTCCCTACATTTATGTACCAGTAGGTGAGTACTAAGCCATGTGAAAGGTGTACTCCTGCTAAATCCAAAGGTCTTTCTGTAGGGATATTCTGTAGGGCTCTGTTCTCCTACTGCATGTTTAACTTCAGAGTAGCTCTAGTGATTTCAAGGAGAAGCTTATGGGGAACGAAACAGTCCTACTATACCGTTCTTTAGAATGTGCTGAATATAGATAAAAGTATTTTTTAATGAATATGCTTTTATTCTTATAGGGAACTTTAATCTCTGTGTTATAGGCCAAGGGGAAAAGTCAAGGAGTAATCACAGGAATATATTGCTCTAGAGTTAATCAAGTGGCAAGGATGTTATTGGATAGAATCTCATAAGAAATATCCTCAGATAAAAAGATTAGTGCATTTAAATTGAATGAATGGATAATAGATGAATAGATTTATGATAAAGAATGTTTTTATTATTACTTCAAAGGGTATACATTTTAAAAACTTAAGGGTAAAGTTAAGAGACAGGATAATTTAGGGACTTAAATGCAAAGGACAAACCCAACAGAGAGTCCTTTAAATAAGACATAAAGACACACACACAAAAATCTGTAATTTGTCGCCAAATTGAGAAAAATCTTTTAAGAGAAGGCTCTCCAACCTGGCAACCCACTCAAAATAATACCAGCATTAGGAACAGAAAAATGAAATGAGCATTTGGGAAAAAGGGAAGACTTAACATGGAGTAAATGCAGCAACTAAAATAATTAGTTATTGTATAGAACACCAGCAAAAAAATATATATAATATATATAATTAAAAATAATGTCAATAAAAAGAACAAAGAAAATGCAAGTGAGGCCATGCAAACAGAGGGACTGGTATTAAGGATAATCTACGGGTAGCCTCCAAGATACTTGGCCTTCATTTTCAAAATCAACCAACCAAACAAAAAAAATAGCATTGGTCCAATGGTTCCTGACAAACAAATAAGCACCAAAAACATCTCTTTTTTCACCTTTCCCTAATCACCAAACTAGCCACTTTCTCAACACACAGGACTGAGTATCCAGTATGCAAGAAATCAGATTACCAATATTGAGTTAAAATGATTTGAAATGCTTCAGTAAGGTCTGTGAATGGAATTTAAATTCAGTTAACAGTCAAGAAGAATGAAGAAAGGCAAGTTTAGGTCTGTTAGACAAAAAAATAAATAAACAAATAAATAAAAAGAAGAAGAAAGACCTGAGAATTACAGCACAGTCAGTCTAATAGTAGTAGCTAGAAAGATAATGAAACATGTAATTAAATAATAAATTTATAAGTGTTTAAAGGATAATGAGATGAGAGGAAAGAACATGCATAAATCTGTCAAGAGCATACCATGGCAAATCAATTTAATTTCCTTCTTTTAAAGGGAATGACCAATCTGAAGAAGTAAGAAATCTGACAATGGGGAAAATGCTGAAGCATTTTGTTTCAGCACTTTCTAGACTAAATATTCTGTTTAGGAAATGCTGAAACAGTTGCATTTAATATTTTTCTGAAATCACGTTCACATTTCAAAAATTTGGTGTAAATATGTCTTCAAAGGTTATATAATTTTACAGAACCTAAACCAAAACAAAATACTTCATGTTGTATCTCTCATCCAAACACAAATATTTTTCCCCATACTTTCAACTACAAATAAATTGGAAGGGATTCAAATATTGCTATAATCAGGCTGATCACAGAATCATAGAATGACTTGGGTTGGAAGGGACGTTAAGGATTATCTAATTCAAACCTTCCTGCCATAGCCAGGGACAGTTGGTTTCATATTCCCCAGAAAAATCGAAATAATAATCAGCTTAACTTTATTGAGCAAGATTTGAATGAAATATTAAACAAGCTTCTTTAACTATACATAGAACCAAACACTGGAACAAGACAGCTAAAAAGGTTATTAATGTTTTCTGAAAGGCAGATCAGAAAACAAACACTGAACATTGATGGTGATGGTCTCTCTGTGTCATTCTGCTGTTGAATGAAAGCATGAATCCAGTGACATATTGAGATCTTACCCAATCTTGTATTGCTACTTAGCCTTTAACATCCTTGACAGTGAATGCAGTGATGGCCGACAATTTTGTTGTCACCATCATCTTCAAGTCAGGCTCAAGATGTGTGTATGCCCTTTGGATCAAGATCATAATTTATGTTTCAGTTACTGCAAAAACTATAGATTTCTAGTACAATATAGTGTTTAAAATGAATAAAACCCTGTTAACTGCAAAGATGGAATGGCCCAATGTGGGTGTCTTAAGAGGGTAGAAAGAAAAAACAACATCCTAACAATTTCCATGAGTAGTTAGATGTAAAAAAAAAAAAAAAAAAAAAAAAAGCATTTCCACTTAACAATGTTGAAGTTATACACATTAGCAGCCACTTCTGTAAATGTCCATACTACAAAGTTAAATAGTACAATAAATGAGAATGTGTATATCTAGGACACCAGTTCATTAGAACTAGATTTTAATTTATTATTTTTCCCACACAAATCATGGTTTTAGTAAATCCAAAATGTTTAATGAAGACATAGCCAGAGAGATAGCTGTGTCGAAACTGGAGAGAGAGAGAGAAGATGAGTAAGAAAGAAAGCGTAAGTTTAGTAGCTGCTGTGTGATATATAATACAAAAGAATGAAATTAATGTTGGCTTGGTATGTGTAATGAAACAAGAACTTTTAGCAATCAGAACCAGGACTGAACAGTCAAGCTGTGTAGTTACAGTCGCAGTTAGAAGCATCAAACGGATTCAAAGGTTTGTGGATTTGGGACCTATACTGAAACAAAATTTAGAGTCTTTTAAAAGTTGTCTGAATTTGAATTCTATGCTTGTAATCAGCACTTCACTTAAAAGTTCCACTTCCAAGTAGAAAAGAAATATTTTTTCCTCCTCAGAAAAGAAAAACTTTCTTCTATCATTGCTTGCCTCCAGTTGCCTCTGTCTAGTCCCATTTGTTGAATTCCCAAGGGTATTTGTCAGAATGAGATTAAGAAATTAGAGGGAACCATATTATGCATCTGAGGAACTTGGCAAAGAGACTGTAGCTAATTGAGATATTTCATGGACTAAGATGCCCTGGCTCCTTGCCCAGTCATCAGACCTCTTGGAATAAGCAGTAAGATCATTAATTTGCAAATTTAATACCAGCTGACCTTTGAACCCCTCTTTTTCTGAGAATAAAAAGAATTGCCTGGTCCCTATAGCATGGAAGAGTGACACTTTAATTCTTCTATTTTTCATTCCCTTGCCTTTTGCCTAAACATTAACTGTTTTTCTTTTTCTTTTTCTTTTTCTTTTTCTTTTTCTTTTTCTTTTTCTTTTTCTTTTTCTTTTTCTTTTTCTTTTTCTTTTTCTTTTTCTTTTTCTCTTTCTCTTTCTCTTTCTTTTTCTTTTTCTTTTTCTCTTTCTCTTTCTCTTTCTTTTTTTTTTTATTTTTTTTTTCCCCACAGGTGACTGACTGACCTGTTGATGGAGATTAAATAATTTCTCTAACAACTTCAGTGGATTTCTGGGATTATTTGATGCCTTCATGTAGCTATCCTGCAGGTGCTTCAGACAAAAAGAATTCCAAGTTCTATTATTGCTTTGGTCTTTTCTGGGGTTTAGATATGAGTTAGGGGTATAAATGTAACCTTATTTGTATAGACAAGTAATATGTGTGGGTCTACATTCTATGGTCTAAAATTGTGTTTCATTTGTCTTTGTTTTCCATATGTGTGCTAATAATACTTTTCAGTATTTAGTTCTTCCTTCTTGTTATGTAAAATTTTATGCTGTATATACCATTTAGAGACTCCAGTAGTTTCAAAAAATGTTTGAAATATCTAAGAAAATCACCAAGTTTAACACAGACAAAACTCTGAGTTGATTATTTTGGTTTTTGTTTTGTTCTGTTTTTCTCTTACCCTATTGGTTTCAGGGATTCTTCTTAGAAAAACATATTCCTCCATTACAATTAGACCTGAGCAGTGTAAAGAACAATGTTTTTTGTGTGACAGTTCTTGTCTATTGACACATACAAATACCATTTTCCTCCTTCCACAGACAATCTTGTACAAAGGAATTCAACACATTCAACACATTCAACAATTCTCTACAGTCTGAAGCAGCAGCATAGAGTAAGTCAGTTTTCTTCATCCAACAGCCAGACTTCACACTGCCTCTGTTCCCTGCAGTACTTCAATCAGTGGAACGTTCCTGGTTAACTCAAGTTTAGAAACTTCAGTCATCTTCAGAGTGACTTTTACAATCTTATTTTATTCGGCCACCAGGAAACCATGCTTCTTTGTCCAGCTTAAAAAGTCCTGAATGCTTGATTTTTCATAATAGGGGTGATTTAATAGTATATAACTTAAAATGGAAGCACTTATGAGTGTGGATGCAGATCCCAGCCCCTCACCACAGGAGTGACTGGCCTTACCCAGTCAAGGTAGGCAGCATCATCATCTTCTTCTGACACACCTCATTTATAGTGATAATAGCAATGGTATCTGTAGGAAGCCTTCTCTGGAACATGGTGTTGGATCAAGTCCTGCAAGGGACGTGACAGAGGAGCACGTAGTTTTTAGATACTTATCAAGTTTGAGTGCTGAGTTGTTTATCTCTGTGTGTTAGCACTGCAACATTATTGGCATGTGCAAGGTTAAAATCTCAAATGCTAATGTCCTGAAGAACATTAAACAGTGAAGTGACAAGAGCGGTCAAGAGCTCTCTATCTATGCTTCTTTATGACCCACTTAATGTTAAGTTATGACTTGCCTGTGTTGCCTCTGGCCCTTGATAGCTAAAGATGGTATCAAATTAGAGATTTCCAAGAAAGGGTATGGTTGCTTATACTGTCTGCAGATTGCTTGATCCATATCCACAGAAAATTCATGGATGATATCAAACCAGAGGTAATGGTGAATGCATAAGAGGGCAGCCTGCCACAAACAGTCTGAGGAAATGGGCTGCCAGGAATCTTGTAAAATTCAACAAAAGAATTTCCTAAGTCCTGCATCTGGGGAGAAACTACCTAATACAACAGCACAATATGGGGACAGACAGACTGGAAAACATCTTTGTAGGCCCTGAAAGTTCTAGTGGACAACAAGTTGATCATGAGCCAGCAATGTGCCCCTGTGGCAAAGAAGGCCAACAGTTTCATGGGTTGTGCTAGGAAAAGCATCACCAGGAAGCAGAGGAAAATGGTCTTTACCTTCTATTCATCTCTGATGAGACATCTTGAGTGCTGGGTCCAGTTCTGGGGACCCCAGTACATGAGTGGTATGGATATACTGGAGCAAGTTCAGAGAAAGGTCATGAAGATATGTAAGGGACTGGAGCATCTGATATGAGATGATACTGAGAGAGTTAGTATTGTTTAGACTGGAAAAGAGAAGTCTTGGATGGGTTCTGATCAATATGTGTATAGAGTTGATGGGGGGTGGTAGAGAAGATGGAGACATTCCCAGTGGTGCCCAAAGGTGAAGAAGCAGTTGGCACAAACTGAAATACAAGAAATTCCAGTTAAACATAAGAAAAAATCTTCTTTACTACATGGATGATCAAACAATAGAACAGGTTGCAAGAATATTGTGTAGTCTCTGACCTCTGAAATATTCAATATTCAAGCCCTGACTGGACATGGCCTGAGAAATCTGTTCTAGTTGACCTTGCTCTGAGCTAGACGATGTCCACATGTGACTTTCAGCCTCAGCCATTCTTTGATTCTGTGACATCGTTTAGGCCTCCCCAGTACAAAAACAAAACAAAACAAAACAAACAAACAAAAAAAGACACAAAAAGTACAGGAGCAAGTGCAGGGATAATAATGGGGCCAGAGCAAATGAAATATGTGGAGGGGCTTACAGAAATAGTTTTGTTCAATCTTAAGAAGAAAAGGCTGAAGGGAGATCTTGCTATCTTCAGATGGTAGAGTATAAGACACAATGGAGACAAACTCTTCTCAGAGATGCAAAGTGAAAAGATGAGAGGCAGTGGATGCAAGTAGTAGCAAGGGAAATTACTATTTGTTGGGAGGAATGGATTAAAAGTGGAAAACTGGAGAGGAGGATGGAATCAGAAAGGAAGACTAGAGAGGAGGATTGTAAATACACTCGTGATCTTGCAGCTGGGAATGCATAAGGTCTGGGGCGGAGCAATGTAGAAAAACATAAATTATATCTACTCCTGTTTGTGTTGTGTGTTTGACAAGTAGCTCATCTGTGCATAGATAACAGGTGTTTGGTGGACTTGGAGATTCCCTATTGGATGTGCTTGAGCTCCTGGCCTTGGTACAAAGAACAGAGAAGCACAGTGAGAATCACAGCATGGTGGTAAAAACTGTGCCTGAGCAACTCTTGATAAAAAAAGGTGAAACCAGAAGGCTGGCAATCTCCTAGCATGGACCCTGTTTAGTGGTTCCTGCATTTCTGTTTGTGTTCCTGTGATCATGTACTTTTGCTCAGGTGCTGTTTCAGGGATTCCCTGGTTGGCAAGGTCACGAGAATAAATCTACTTTTTGCATTTTAGTTGTGAGTATGTTGTTGTTTCTGTTGCCTACCTGTGCTTAAAATTAATTTTAAAATTAAAAAAAAAAAAATCATGAGGAAGATGTTCAAACATTTATTTGAATTGTTGTACAGTGAAGATGTAGAATCTCCACCATGGCGACTATTCAAAATTTCTCTGGACAAGGCCCTTAACAACCTCATCTCAATTGCCCCTGCTTTCTTTGAAGGATTCCATTAAGTGATTTTCACAGGTTCTTTCCAATAAAAAATATTTTATGATTGTGTGATTTTATGATAGTAGATAAAGCAATGTGCATACTGGGAGGTTTTCAAGTCTTGGACTTATTTGTTTCTGTCCCCCACTCCCACTTTTCAGCCAACACACTAATACACCACATCTGATTTTTATGTAATGTATTTGTTTCTTTTTGGTTAAAAGAAATAAATTTCCATCATTTCCAACATATCCAACAATCTGTTGTCTTGATAGCCAGCATATACAATTTTTGTGATGCAAAGTTTTTCTATGACACCACAGATTATAATCCTATGGTATGTACTAAGAATATAGAGTTGGAACCAAAATTTCATAAGTAAACCACAGATTACTTTATATGCATATAATTAAAGGACTATCGACCTTGTTATCAGTACAATACAGCTACATCTATTCTAATAAAACAAGACTAAGGGTGTTGCACAGCAGTGAGGCTAAGAGGCATGGAATGACCCATGCTCCTGCTAGTAGAGGTTGTTTTAACTTTCAGAGCATGAAGTGTTATACAAATTTCTTGTTTGACGCAGTCACAGGAGTCAATGTTCTGACTTAAAGGGAAATATACAGGGAAAACACTAGCAAGAAGGGGACAGATGTGTGCCGCAGAAGAATTCATGCACTCCTGTGCATGAGTGATACTATGTTAATGAAGGAAAACATTCCTGTGCACATTAATATTTGCTAGTGTAAACTGTTCCTGCTTTCTTGACTTCTCTAAAATCAGTAGTAACTCTCTGTCCATCCATTTTCTAGCAGTAGCAGATATGGAAAAGAAAAGCATTTCAATACTTCCTTTTTGGCTTTCCTATATGAAATAGAGGGCCCAAATGAGCTCAGTGTCTGCTCCTCACTCTAAGTACCTAGTGAAAATCACAAGCTTGGCTATATGAAGGTTTATTTATGATCTTCATTTTTAGTATTGAAATTTAGTCACATAGGGTAAAATAACTGAAGAAAATACCAAAAGTTTGAGCAGAGCCAAGAGTGGACCTGATATCTGTTGTGAGTGAATCAGGATAGTTTGGATAGTCTGGGGACGTTTAGGTTGGAAAGCAGGAGACATTTCTTCTCAGAAGGAGTAATCAGGCATTGGAACTGTTTGCTGAGGGAGATGGTGGAGTCACCGTCCCTGGGGTGTTTAAGGAAAGGTTGGATGTACTGATTAGGGACATGGTTTAGTGGGTGACATTAGTAGTAGGGTGATGGTTAGACCAGATGATTTTGAAGGTCTTTTCCTACCATACTGGTTCTATGATTCTATGATTAAAACAGATTAAGACAGTCTGGAAGGTTCAGAGTAGCCCTGTGGGGCAGACAAGAATTTACTGGTTTAGTTCGTGAATGTGAGCTTTCTTGCTTTCCTAGCACAATACTGTTGTAGAAAGTGATGCTGAATAACTTCAAATGAAATGAAAACAAACGCTGATAATATATAAGCATGTTAAATGATTGCTTCCTGGGGTTGTTTGGGAGCAGGTAGGAAGAGGTAGATTGGTGTGGTATCTTCATACTTATCAGACTGGTAGGAGAGCAACTGAGAACAGAAAATAATGAGGGACAAGTAAAGAGGTATTGGTTTCTGCTGAGGAGTGGAGAGGGTGCATTTATTTATTTATTTATTTATTTATTTATTTATTTATTGCATGAAGAACTTTAGTCATGTGTGAGTCTTTTAAAAAAAAAATGATAATGATAATTAAAAAAAACGTATAGTGTTATTCCTGGAATAACTATGTGAAAGCACTCACCTCAAAAGCAAAAGGTACATCTTCTACTTTGCCTGTTTCAAGTAGAGATGGAGCCATTTTCTCTTCCTGACAGCTGAGTCAAGATCAACAAGCACTTAGTTATGCTCAGTGTAAAAATGTCACCTCTTTCTAATGGAGCTGTTTCACTGTATAAAAATCAGCTACATCAGGAGACAGGCTCCAAAACAATCTCACGTGATAGGGTGATATGTAAGATATGTAAGGACAAACAGGTCAGATTAGACCAGGTGTCTAAATCAAGTTATGAGTGTCCCAAGTATTAACAAACTTTGAATCTGATTAACTGGCATTTTCTGTCAAAAAAGATTCTGTCAGAACTGCTGTACTCACCGATTAAGTTTCCACTGAAATTCACAGAAAATAAATTTTTCTCCACAGAGACTGGAAAAGAAACATTTGTTAGGAAAGAGGACAGGTTTTCTGTGACAGTTTGTCATCTCACTGTCAAATGAGAAATAAGAACAAGTCATGAAGAGCTCCCAATACCTTACTCTTTTCTGAACACAACAACACACGCATTTGAAAAAATGTGTGCTTTGTGTTGTGAGTGTTTATAGCAAAGGTGACTAATTTCACACAGTTTTCAACTAGTTATCAAGGAATGTGTACCTCCAGGCACAAGTTTTCTGGGATGTGATAGATCTATACAACTCTCTAATACCAAGGCTTAACTTTAAGGTCTGCCTAAACAATAAAATTATTGTTCTAAGGACTAGGAGCTAAAATCTCTCTAAAAAAATAATAATAATAATTAAAAAAAAAAAAATCTAAAATGAGGAGCTAAAATCTCAGCTCCAGCACCTTCCACAATTTGAAACTGACATTTGCAGAAGGGATTTCTTAAGCCTGAGATGTTAATAGTTCTAAAAGCAAACATTAGGGAAAGAAAAAAGAAAAAGAAAAAAAAAAAAAAAAAGCTTCATTAAAAGATCGTTGTGTTAATTAGTACAGAAAAATGTTGGATGCAATGTGCTCTTCACTATTTAAACTATTTGTTTAAATTTTGTGTCTGTCTGGACAATAAAACGAGTTTGCTCCCAGTTCTATTTAGCGTTGATTTTTCACTTCCTGCTTCTCACCATGAACTCAACATTGTTATCTTTGGTTTCTCTGCTCTGCACGAGATGTTTAAACAAAAAGCCACAATATTTTTATTGAAACTTTTTATAAAACCAGTAATTAAATGTCTTTTGCCCTAAGTGGTTTTTTAAGCCACTGTGCTACAATATTTCCAGGTAAAACCCTAAGATGGTTTAATGAAATCACTGAAAAGATTTTTATGGATATGATATTTATAGAATCACTCTATAATTTTTTTTCTAGAGGAGGACTACAGAGTGTCCTGCATGGTGTACTGATCAGTTGCAGTTTGAGTCTTAAATAAATCAATTCATTTCTTTCTATTTTAGAAGTTACCCCTTCTTGTGTATTACAGTAATGTTAGAAATGTAATGCTGATTTGAAATCACTTGGAAGTCATATAAACGACTATTGCATATTGTCTTATTAAGACACAGTTTTAATGTAATTCCAAACAATTCTGTTCAGCTTTCATCCACAAAGAGCAATAAATACTGAGAGGAACTGAGAGCAGTGTACACTTCATCTGTTTCCATAATTTAGCTGCAAATTGTTTGCTCCCATGTACGAAATATGTTTTTTTGCATCACTGAGTTGTCAGGGTGAATTGAGGAAAAAAGCTCCCTTCCCACATTGAATAATCTAAATTTTTGTTGTCCAGTCAGAGAAAAAAACATTCAGACATTGAACTGTCTGAACTGTTTCTAAGGATTAGAAAGAAAATATTGTTTATTGCTCCAGTTGTGGGTTGTATGTCTGTTGTAAGATGACTAGACACACTTGTGGCACTTTTTTTTTTTTCCCTTTCAACTGATGGCCAATTTTTTATTTTTATTTTTTTCCCAATGGCATCTTAGCTATCTCAATTTTAAAACCCTTGTTTATGCTGAAATTTATCCATGCTCAGATTAACAAATCAGATGAATATTTTGTGCAGGATGCATAATTTTGTCTGCTCTTTCTAATATGTTTGGAGGAAATGTCCCATTAACAAACGATAAGAGAAAGATATTTGGATGAATAAGGAACAATAGAACAACTGTGGTAAATAATTTGGAAAGTTCTGTCATAGATGTAAAATGGTATAAAACATGAGTGTAAGGAATAGAATTAATTGGGAATTTTCACCTACTATGCCTTTTTCTTCTGAAAAACAGGGGATCAAAGATCTGTGTGCATCAGTGACGCTGTTTTTGGTAAAAATGTTTTATGACTTAAATCAGCTAAATCCCAGCCTGTAGACCGGTTGCTACTTCATATTCAGAATTTGATAGCAGCATCTTCTTGTCAATTTTTTCTGTATTTGTAAAAATACACTCTGCCATAAAGCAACCTGTTCATCCACAGGTGCCAAAATTGAAAAAGAATTTGGGAAGGTGGCTTCTGTGAATGAAAAGGTGTGAGGTTGATTTCATTAGGAATGAGTTTCAAAAATATGCACCTCCTTCTTTTAAGAGATTTATCAGAATAACATGAACAGAACAAATGAGTAAATAAGGCTATATTCAAGTATTTTGTTTTTTATTATTATTATTATTATTATTATTATTATTATTATTATTATTATTATTATTATTATTATTATTATTATTGCCTGCCTGAATTCTGAGCCTTTTGCAGCCTTCAGGAAATAAAACCCCATTAAGTTGATCTATATCATCAACTAACTTTGAATATATATGTTAACTAAGTGTCATTTTAAAAGGGTGTAATGAATGCAAATATGTTAATGGTTAGGAAAATCTTTCTACCAACTTACTTATTTTTGCCTGCTAGTGATACCTACAATAAACCATGGCTGAAGGAATGTTGTAAAAAAAAGAAAAAAAACATTTTCTGCTTTTTCTTTGCATATTAGAACCTATTTGAGCTATGAGTAGAAATATCAGGGCTGATAAAGCATTTCAGCCTTTACATTTTTGCACATAAAAGACAAACTTTTCATTGGATTATTGTTTTTCTTGTAAATTAGGTGAGATCTAAGAATTAAAAATGTGGAATAAAATATAATCTAACAAATGAAACATTTAATTCTGTAGTGCTATATTTTCCACAATTTAAAAAAAAAAAAGACAGTTCCATTTCACAGTGATCTTTCAAGTGACCTGATCTCTAGAGAAGTTCCATAATAGCAAATTGAAAACAAAAGACACTCATATTACTTACCTGTTCAATATAATTCTCAGGAAAAATTCTGAGTGAATTATGGGATCAAATCTGTGTTTAGCTAAATAAACTTTTCCAATAACATTTTCTGACATAAAAAAATAAGAATATTCTGAATAATATATATATATTTCAGCTGTAACACTTTTCATTTATTTTTTAAATAAAAGTTTACAATTTAAATAGAACAAAAGATTCTTAAACACTGACACTTTTTGAATTTGATACAATGCATAAGATCATAAAACTATTCATTAGGTGGAAATTTTGTTTTTCCAAAAGTAATCAATACACATCTCACTAATTAAAGTAATATTTTAATGAAAAAATATGTAATTAAATTTAAGATAATATTCCAATTTAAAGTGAAAATTTAAATCATCCTGATCTCAGTGATGTTCTGGTCTAAAGTCATTATTTAGCTTGGAATGATTTGTAAAAACACCCTTTTTTTTTTTTTTTTTTGAGAATGATCCAAAGGTCATTGATGATAATGCAAAGACTTTCATTGGTTTCCAATGGAAAGACCAGCCTAGTGAAGCTATTGTGTCCATCAGTTCTGTCATTTCAGCAAATTAGGAGAGCTGAACTGCTTCTGGAGCTGGAGATAAAGTGCATAGGGCTTTTCTTTTTGAAGAGTTCATATGCACTTTAAAATGACAATAAACATTTTCTATACGGACCAGTAAGCAAAAGACAGTTGGAAGAGAAAACTGTATTCTTTAAATGTTCATGGTTTTCCCCCTGCAAAAGAGGAAGAAAAATATAAGGCAATAAATTAAGCTTTATGTTATGCATTACCGTGTATTACTGAGCTTGTAATTTAGTCATTATGATTCCAGAATGCTATTACATATCTTGGATCTCTGTGCTGAGTCCTGAATCAGGACATAGGCAGTGAAAACGTAAAAGCCTGGTTTCCCACGCTCTGCATAAGCTATTGTTATAAAAACAATTAGTTGGCAAGACTAATATCTGGAATAAAATAAGTCTTTGAACACCTGCAGAGATATGAAGAGAAAGCGATATGTTGATTTTTTTGTTGCTGAAAAGTCCCATGGAACCTTTCTAGTGCTCACTGTTATCCTAATCACCTAAGAGGTCGCCTAATTATCCTAATCATCTAATAGGTCGCCTAGGGCATGAATTGCCTATCCACAGTGCACACCTTACATTTTAGTGTTTGTCAAAGAGAAAAAAAAATATTAAAAAAAAAAAAAGATTATTTGTTTAAATATATACAAAAAAAATGTTTAAGGAGGCAAGTATAGATTATTAATGATATAAAATCTAGTATAACATGTTATGTGATATAGCTGAGGTAGCTTAGAGTTTAACCGCAGCAGCTTCCAGCTCACTGCTAGCTGGCTAATGTGAATGTTAATTCATTGTATACACTTATTCAAACAATAATTTTTCATACTATCTCATCACGTTGTTATTAGTTTCTTTCCACCCTGTATTGCATGGCATCCCATTAGTCCACACACAGTTTCAAGTGATGCATACTATAATTATGTAATGTTGTATCATGCATTATCACCTGGGGCAAAAACAAACAGCAAAATTTTTCACTGAGGATGCAATTAGTGAGTAAAGCTAACTGAGCACCTTCCACAGTGGTTTGCAGGTCTGATATGAGTGCCACACAATAGCTACTTAAGCTACTTAGGCTAGTTGGCAGAGCATGACAGAGTTGCTTTGAGTAAACTGTTTTGATTTTGTATGAGGAAGTTTCTTGTATTTTAATTGATAGCTATATTGTACAGTTAATAAGCTAAGCCTATGAAATAGAGTAGCTAATAGACAAAAGGCCTCTCTCTCCTATTGGAGATACCTGTGAAGTATATAGTAGAAGGAAACATTCAACATGGTGTCTGCTGATCCACAGCAGGACTCTTCTGCAATATATAAAAACAACATCTGCTTAGAGCAGGGGAACCATGTGCAGCTCAGTAAGATATAAACCTCTAACCAGAATGTTCAAAGCTGTATTTAGCCACACAATTCCCCATTAACGTTAATAGGAAGTGTATGGTTTTCATACATCCCTTTGAAAATTATATCCCACGAACTACTTTGAAACAATATATTCCCACAAACGTTGACTCAGAAACCAGTAAAGAATACTGCAATTGCCATAATTCTGAATCACTGCAGCTTAAAAAGGTGGACTTGTTTCCCCCCAGATCCATGGGGCTCATGGTTTAGAAAAGAGCAGTGCTTTTCAATTTTATAAATAATGCCAATGGGATCTTCATTGTTTTAACAGCTATTTAAGAACATATTTTTTCTGCATATCTGATGATAAGAACAATACTACTAGAAGAGGAATTCATTCTGTATTTTCATTTCTTAGAAGTAATGAGATTTATGTATTTTAATTATAAGTGGACTGTTTTTGATTTCAACTTTATTTTCATGGTGTGAACATATGAAGCCTGTTTATACATATATGTGTTCTAAGAAAAAGAGTGTCCTTCTCACTATCTTGATTTTTTTTCTTTCTTCCTCCATTATAAAATAAAAGAAAATTTAAAAACCTTACATAGTGAGTAATCAAGAAAAATATTTTGTGATTTGGATGAATAATTTGTTCACATTAACTGTGAATGGCTGAAAATTTTCAAAATTTATTTATGACTTACTGATATGGATTTAGAAGAACAAAAGGGACCATAAATGTTCTTGTTGCCTTCCTTGTGTTACTGATCACCCATTAGGAAGGTAATCCTGCAACTTCAGTATCCCTCTGGGGTTTGCATCCAGTCTAGTTCATTCAAGACAAAACTGATGATGGTTGCATTCTAAAACATTACAATAGGAGATGAATGTTGTATTAAAACTGTTGTTGTCCTCTGCCCAAGGATAAATGTCACTCATAGGAAGACAACCATAGAAATTGAATTTGAAGATGAATATATTAAAAGAAGGAGAAAAGGTTAATTACTCATTTGATTTAATTGACTTAAATTCTCCAACCTGCATAAAATATTACGTAAGACTTAATGTGTGTGGTATCTGTAACCTATCCTTTTTTCACTGCCTTGTCCCTGCAACAGCTTGTGTTCAATGCAAAAAAAAAAAAACAAACAAAAAAACAAAACAAAAAAAAAAAAACCTTTATCTATTCTCTGGGAAAATATTAGGGATGTAAAACTCCTATTCAACTGTTTTATGTAATATGTTTTATTGATTTTTTTTTTTTTGCTTCATGCAAGGAAGTATGTTTTAGGATAGGTAGGAATGAAAGTAAGACATTGAATAGAGCTCCAAAGCTTTGGATTTCCAGTTTCAGCTCAAAAATTTTTAGATCATTTCTGTTCTGGTCTGTAATTCTTTCTCCAAGCTTTATCAATGTGAGGAACTAATTTGCTGAAAATGCCCTTGGAAAGTCCTCCCAGGTTTGCAGGTAGATTTTATTACAATGAAAAAAAGGTTTCTTTCTGGTGTCGGGAGGAAATACTAAAAGTGCTTGCCCATGACAGGGATCTTCAACATGATGACATCACTTGCAATTCCTCTGTCAAGATTTCATGTCTCTGAATGAATACAGTGAAACAGTTCTGTTTTCTTTCTTTCACACACGCAAAACACCGTGAGTACATCTGGTTAGGCTGATCACTGACAGCTCATCAAAAAAGAAAAGTGCACATTGCACAGTTTTAATCCAAATGAAGTGAAAAATGTCATCTAAAGAGAAAGACTCCCCTGACCTTGTGCCTTCCAACTTTGTTTGCTATGTTTATCCACTCCTAATTTTAAACAGAGAGAAAGAAAAAGGTCATCTAGGTTCAGCACAAACAACTGGAAAAATCAGAGAGAAGAACAATCAAAACCCAACATCTTATCTGTGAAAGTGGAAAATATTTCCAGCTCCCAAAATAGAGTCCATTAATCCCCCAAAATGGTTAACAATCAAGAGGTTATAGAGCAGTTTGAAAGATGATAAGATATTGAGCACTTCCTTGGGATCAGTTTATGCCCTCTGAAGTTGTAAAGATGTGCAATGATGGAAAAAAGAGGAGGTGGTCAGTCCATAGCAATGGGTCTATCACACACTTCAGAGTTTGTTGCTATCGAACACCTGACAGTGAACCATGTTGCAAACTGGTTGATTGTGATAGGATGCCAATGTGATGCAACACAAGATGCTGAAGATATAAACAACAAGGATGTACTTGCAAGGTGTTTGCCAAGAAAGCATTTACCCTGCTATGCTATTATCATTATTGTTTAGTACATTTGTACTTGGATTTTCTTCAAAAACTAATAAAAATTATAGCTGGGAAAGAAGGATACATCTGCATTCATGTGAATTCCTTTAATGGGAAATTGTCTGGCTTGTCTTCTGTATAAAATATTAGTCATATACTGCCTCTGGATAACAAAGTGGGTTTATTTGAGGCACTAAGTTTCTATTTTGTGCAGCAGGGAGAAAATGAGGAAATCATGTTCAGGTTTTATAAATTCAAGAGAAATAATATCTTTTTTTGTTTCTTTTAAAGTAGTTTGCTTGGAGTTTTTAGAAACTTTCCTCAGTAGGAGACAAATTATCTCTGAAAGTCCAGGGTTGCAAACCTGCTTTTAGCTTTACAAACAAACAACAACAACAAATGGGCAACAATGTAAAAATAATGCTGGAGTAGTGGGAGAAACATATAGCTTCTATAACACTATCCAGTTTGTGAGTCTAGAATGGATTCTACTGATATAGTAGATATCAGTACTGGTATACTCATATATCCCTGGACATACAGGGATAAGCTGTGATTACATCAGGAATACGATTCAGTGTAACCAGACTGAGTGAAAGCATCATCTACCAGATTCTAGCAGGGCATCACTAACACCATGGGATCAAGCAGTACCTGTGTGTGTATTCTTGGTTCAGTTGGGAACAACAGTACAAGAGAACAGTGAGGTCAGTGTTAGACTAGTCCAAAGTTTTTTGATGTTAATTAGAGCTTTTCTCCTGATTTATACCAGCATTGGACACCAGTTCACCCTTTAATTTTACGAGAACCAAGTCCTGTGAACAGACCTCAGTACATAAAATAGCAATAACCTTCCCAGCTTTCTAAGAAACAGAAAAAAATATATACTTCCATTGATAGATAACAGATGATGCAAACATTTCTATATAACAGAATACATTTTTTTTCTTTTTTCTATTTACCAGCTACAAGCAAGGTAAATGCAATTTAGCAAAAAGCTGAAGAAAGTATATTTGTATTCAGAGTAAAAAGAAAATATCATAAATTTTTACTAACACAGAGGATTTCCTTATTGTGGAGACACCAAATATGATAAAATTTTTGAAATAACTGATGATGCAGAAAATTAGTAGTGTCTGTCTATGACGTCAGTTACAGTTACAGAAACTCTACAATTAGAAGAGCAGGGAATTAGCTTGTGACTCATCGGTATGGCTTATGATGTTCAGAAACAAATGTAACATTTTTATGATCCATTCCACACAACAGGTCTATATCTAACAGTAAATTAGGAAGTGCCAGGACACTGGTACTGGAGATGGAAGTCAATTGCCCATATTATTAAGCTATTATTAAATACTCCTTGGCTTAGTTTTTGCCTGGAATAACTAGTGTTGTCCTTAAAAATCCCAGAGGTTTGGAAGTTGTCATACATGTTGATTTACAATGATTTGTGGTCCCATGTGTCCCTCTGTGTGGTATGAAAGAGGTTATGAAGCCTATTTCAGTGCACAGTCATACAAGAAGACTTGACAATCTATTGAAAATTGAGTTTGAAGAGTGTCAGAAATACCAGCGTTTTTTCTAGGCAGACAATGTCTTCAGCTTCAGCCAGCAAGTGAGAAAAACTAATACCTACCAATCATGTCTTGCTTTACTTTAAAAAAATTGTCTGCTATGAATTAGGGGTATCTGATGGTAATTACTAACGTTTTTAAAAACTGGGCTCTCTTATGTACACAAGTCCCAGAGAATTAACCAGTCTGTCTTTAATATAATTTGATCATTATCCAGGTTTCCTATACTATAAAGATAATATTTTTACAACATTCTTCAGGGTCATATTGCTGACATAACTTATTAGTTTGACAGACTGTTATAGAAAATAGAGTGGATCTAATTCTGCCTAGAACTCTCAGCATTTTTTTGTGTCTGACAACAGGAAGCATTTGTCACTAACTAACCATTATGAAGAGAAAGATAAACTGAGGCTGAGAGGGGTTAGAGAGCAGATCAACAGCAGAACCTGGAGAATGCTCTAGATAGCAAATAAAAAAAATAAAATATAAAATAAAATTTAAGGACCTGAAGGACTTGTCACTGAGATCAGCTGGCATCGCTCATGTATATAATTTCAGTTTTCATACCCTATAAAACAGCCCCATTTACACTGTCTATTAGGAATGGTCACTGGACTATGCTAAACCCTGGATTGTGTCCAGGTGTTGCTTGGGAGAGTGCTAGCTGGCCGGAGTATTCTGTGGTCCGCGCTGGCAACAACAATCTGTTGACTGGGACAGTAATCAGATTCATGCCTTAGCGTGGTTTGGTTTACTGTCACAGGAAGAAAGAGACTGGTTGTCCAGTCTCCTCCTGGCCATTCTGACAATGAGAATGCTCACCTTCATCTGAGTACTAAAGAGTAAGTAACAAAGTGTGCCTGAGTAGTTTATTGCACAGGACTATTATACAGGAAATATTATTTTAGGTATGCCAGCATTTTTAGGAACGTTAAAATGTCTGACCCATGAAAAAGCATTTGAGAAAATTCATATCTTCTCTGATATACTAAGTCTTCACAATAATTTCTTTTTCTAAGAAACTGTGAATACGTCTGTCAATCAGAACACATGTTGAGATAGAGAACTATGGAGAGCATCTGGCATTTCGTATGTGGAGGTCAGGAGTAATGTCTTTCTGCATTGAGACTGCCTATGATTTCTTTGTTATGGAATAAAAACTGAAGTATATCTTCTTCAATGGACAATGTTATAGAAATGGCTCTGCAGTTCAGATTGTGTTCTCTTTTTCATTGACTTAAATCCGATGTTTTCATATACCTTATTGTGTGATGTAAAGTTGGAAGAAACCTAGTTTTATTTCAAAAAGTGCTTCTTGAAGCAGAAATTAACATTTTAAAAGCTGTCAGGTATGTCTAGAAAATGATTTATATTTCCAGGTAATGTGGCCTTTGGAAGCACAGTGTATATATATATTTGGGACATTCAGAGTATTTTTTAAACACCGTACTTTGAACTGCTTAATCATTTTTCTTTGTTAACAGGAATTATGTGGTTAACTCCCCTCAGAACATACCGCATTAAACATTTGTCTCCAAACCCTTCAAAGATGATAAACTATATTTTAACATTGCATGAACAATTTAATCTTTTATTTTGAAGCAGCTTGTGCATATGGCTAATAGAAAAAGAGCAAGAAAATTAATCCCCCAAAATATGTTTATATATATGACCTTTGCAGTAAGAATCCCCAAAATTTTGACCAATAAATTTGGGTTATTGCTGAAAAACTGAAATGACAAGCAAGGTTCTTTGGCAAAGGATCTGAAGTGAGAGTAAGAAAGCTGAGGGCTTTGCAGTCAGTACACCATCGGCCTTTTTTTATCTGTACCACATTGTCCACTGAAGGAGGCCATTGGTTTCACTTTGATTAAAAGCAGATGCTTAAGACAGATGTTTGGAGTTCAAAAGAATAGAGTGCACGCTTATGAAATGCTTCCCTGCAAGGCGCTCAGGGCTATGAAAACAGGTACAGAGTGTCCTCAGGTTCAAATTTCAAATATTCTAGGTAGAGGGGAAAAAAAAAAAAAAGGAGCATTCACCTCATACCCTACAGTTTTGTGTTTTTTGAGACTGCTTGTACAATGTAGTCTGATTATACTTGAGCTTTGTCTGTTAATTTTCAGGGGAAAACAAACAAACAAATAAACAAAAAGTATTATTACTGTATTATTACTTCTGTAACTCGTATCTCTTCATGTCCCCATGGTGGGTTTAGGAGGAGGCGGGATGGCAGAATGTCAAACTGCTGCTGCCATGGGGGAGAAGGGGTGCTGTAGTCTGAAGACAGCTGCATTTCTGTTATTGTGGGGCACCTTCTGATTTTTTTAAGTAATCACTTACCTATACTAAAAAAGTTCACTGCTATATTATTGAGGTGTGTATAAAATAGTTCAGTTGTAAAAAAAAGGTGAAAGAAGCCTCAGTGTTAGGGCTCCCAAGTCACCTCCAAGCCTGGGGCCCCTTCCCACTTTCCCAGGACCCCACATCAAGGCTGCAGCAGGGCTGGGTCCAGCTCCCATCAGCATTGCCTGCCCTGCCTGGCCATGGCCCCCCTCCCCCCCTGTCCCCCCGAGCTAGGCCTACCTGTGGGCCCAGGTCCTGGCATGACATCAGCCTGTCCCAGTCTCAGGGAGGTGCTAGGGCTGCCATGGTGCCCCTGGCTGCCCTGCTCCTGGCTGGGGATGCCCCCGCTTCAGTTCCTGGGCCCAAAGAAAACACCAGTGCCAGTGTGAGGGCAGTGGCTGCACCTTTGGTAGGAATTTAAGTGGCTACCAGACAGAGTCTTGCCAATTCCATAATATTGAACTCTGCCAGATGTGGAAAGCAGCACAGGCACATACAAAGTGCTCCTTGGGGAGTGGTCCTTGTTTCACTCTAACTTGCAGACCTTCCCTGGTAAGGGTGGCTGTGGGCTTCCAGCTGCATGTGCATCACCATTTTCAAAGACAGCATTTTTTATCAGGCCTTTAAAAAAGCCTGAAGCTTTGGAGTTGTTGTTTGTCAGATCTCATGGGCTTTAAAAGTAAATGACAGTTGCATTCCTGGATAGATTCCCTACTGGATGAGCACTATGTTTGCTATAAACATGACCATTTGAAATGCTCCAAAGTCTTTGTAAGCAAACTTGTCTGGCATTATATCCTTGACAATGCGTGTGTTTTCCATTTGCAAATAAATTTCTGTGTCCCACAGGGGTTATAAAGGATTCAGAGGAACAAATATTTCTTTTCCTACATTATTTTACCTCATTTTAGGACAAACAATTGTATAATGTGACTGACTTTAGTTGTTTCTATAAATATGATTATAATGTACTTTTTAAAACCTTTTATCCTTTTTGGGAACAGTGTAATCTGTTATGTGTTTTATTGGAAACACATGAAAAGGGTCCTCCATGGACAAGCTGAACTGGAAGTGCTTTTTGTTACCCAGCATAGTCTATATGCAGGGAACAGGAGAAAACCTGAAGGCACAAGGAAAGCACCCAGCAAGCTACATATTCTCAGTATTTTTCCAGTGACACTGCAGAAGCTCAGAAAGTTCTTGTAGGTGCATAGTGCTTGTACTGTTTTGGACAGCCAGGATAAGTTTTAGAAGGGATTCTTGACACTTTATCTTGAATTATTCTCTTCTTTCTGTGAGTCTGTTGACCTTTACTTGCACACTTTATAATTCTGACTTGTGTCACTAGAAACCAATTTAGGAAGAAGGTACAGAAAGTACCAAGGATTACAAATTTAGGACCATTATCAGCAAGAATAACAGGAAAGATAAGACACCTCTGAATGAGACACAGAAGATGCATCCAAAGGTCAGAGAGAAAATCAGGAGAGAATGGAAACCCAGAAGCCAATGGATCACATGGTTTCAGGTACATGAGAGAAGAACCTAAGAGATACTGGCCTAAAAAAGTGGCATGGATAGGGGTCACTAGAACGACTTCAATAAATGTGTCAGAGGACAGTTCTGAATGAGACACTGGTAGGGTGATTTAGCTTTCTCAAGAAATACACTTGTATCCAGGGAACAAAGAGGATTTTATGATACTCAAAATGAAGATACAAAAGGTATATATGGCTTGGGCTGATGATTTCATGGGGAAGTTGTATAAGGGGACAAGGAAGTGACACAAATATTTCCTAAGAAATAAACTAGGTACTCATATAGTCAAAATTTACACCATCCTGTTTCTATCCTATTCTATGATTGTGTTAATTATTCTCGTTTAAAATTTCTACTCCAATAAAGATCCATACCCGATTTTGCCCATAAAAGTATTTCCAAAACACACAAGTTGTCAAAGTGAGCTTATCTGCTATGCTCCTCAACAGTTACCCTCTTTTAGAGTTTGTTTTATTGACTTTGACACAGACTCTAGACCTTGAAAGTCTCACAAAACTGATCAATGTAAGCAGTGGTCAAGAAAGCAACAGGCAGAAAAAAACTTATGAGCAGTAGACTTGAGTTAGTTTCTCCCTTTGTTTTCTTGAATTTATTACCCAATTGAATCCTAAAAGTAATTTGGTCACACCTGAAACATATGTGTACTCAAAGGCTGGCAGAAGAGAGATGTTGATACCTCTCAACCCAAAACTGCAAGCCTTGCACAACAGCATTTCTCTGACTCAGGGGCATGTGATGACAACCTGGTGGAGATTCAGCTCAGACAAGACAAAAGCAGGAAGAGAAGTAGAGAGAAATTGATGGTAGAGATAGAGGAAGTAGCCTCAGTCCCTCAGCTGACTGAGCAAACACATTCATAGCTAAAATTGTTCACAACTTGGAGGACTACCAAGGTGCTTGCTGTTTGATGATAATTCACACTAGCAGCTCAACCAGGTATTATTAATGCTGTTGACTGACAAGTTGACTTTTCACTTTCAGTACAGAGCTTGCTACTGGTCTTTGGAACATCATCACATCAAGATCAGATTATTGCAATATATTCATTACAAGGCTACCCTATGAATCACAGAATCACAGAATTGTCTAGGTTGGAAGAGACCTCACGATTATCGAGTCCAACCTCTGACCTAACACTAACAAGTTCTCCACTAAACCATATCACTAAATTCAACATCTAAACATCATTTAAAGACATCCAGGGATTGTGACTCCACCACTTCCCTGGGCAGCCCACAACGCTCTCAGTAAAGAAGTTCTTCCTAATATCCAACCTAAAGCACCCATGGTGCAACTTTAGCCCATTCCCCCTCATCCTGTCTCCAGGCACGTGGGAGAATAGACCAACCCCCACCTCTCTACAGCCTCCTTTAATGTACTTGGAGTAGGTGTTTGCACAAAAAATAATAATTTATGTACAGAAACTGTCTTGATGGCAGATGTTTTGCAAGTGGTATCTAGATGAATTTTTCAGCCAAATGCCATGTTTTCTGTAAGAGATCATCAGATATCACTCTTAAAAATAGCTTATGTGATGATAATTAAAAATTATAAAGATACATGAATACAGTTGAATGAGACATTTTGCTATTGGCTTCTCTGTGAAAGAAAATTTCTTTCAGCTTTATTACCCACAGAAATCCAGTAGAGTAGTTTTTAATTTAAAAAATTGAAACAGCATAGGGATAAGGAAACACAGATTAAAAAAAAAAAAAAAGCAAACAGGGAAGAAGGTCAAGTGTTCAGAGAAGCAGTAACGTATCTTTCAAAGATGTTTTGTCAGAAGATCAAGCTGAATGTGTAATGTATATTAAAAAAAAAGACTTAATAACAAATAAAAAAAACAGCAGAGAAAAAGTGGCTTTGAAAGTTTTTGTTTGTTTGTTTGTTTTTAAATATCAATTATATTAAAACAGCATAAAATACAAAATATAAATTTTAACAAATCAAATGTAAGCCAATAATAATGTAGGCCAACATTCTTAAAATCAACTTGCTAAAGGCATAAAATTATTAATTAGAAGAGATTAATTAGGAAGCAAATATACCAGAAACTAGGGGTGTCTAGTAGTATCTACAGGGTTAATAAGCAGTAAAGATATAAAAAGTTCTCTCAGAAAAGGCAAGAGTTTAAGAGCAGAGATAAATGAATTATTTTATTTCCTGCTGAGTGTGAAGGAGCACAAGGAAGCTCCCATCCTGGAACAGTTATTTGTGGGGGATGAGTCAGAGGAGTTATCTCAAGCAGAAGCAACAGCAGAAAAAGCTTAGAGTACTGTTCATTAAATGAAAAGTAGTGGGTCACAAGGCCAAGATAGCAGTCATCTGAGATATTTAAAGGAAATTAAATGCTAAGCTATTAAATGGTCTATCAATTAAATCATCCTTCATACAGAATACAAAATGATTTTTTTTTTTTTTTTTAACAGGGACTCATGTACATTATAGCCTAGTAGCCCTAATTTCCATACTTCCAAAATTGAAAAAATCTGTCATAACTGTAGACTTAGTAGGCATGTAGCTAAACTAGCACAACAGGAAAGAACCAACATGTTTTTTGTAAAGGGACATCATGCTTCAAAAGCTGCTTGTGTTCTCTGAGGAAGAGAACAAACATATATCCATGAGATTCAATTAATACAGTAGACTTTGTTTTTAAGAAGACTCATAGGCAATTCCTCATCAAAGACTATTAGAGAAATAGGTTATCACAGGTTAAGAAAAACCTCCTCTTATGAACCTAAGACATAAGCAGAAATAAGATGTTATTTAAATATGAAAAACAAAGAATTAGGTATAAGCAGATTTCCCCAACTGAATGAAGTAAACTGCTATCTGAAAAGGCAGATAAAATTAATTAAACATAAACTGTGTACATCCTGTACAGTGCGTGTTCTAATGTGTTCTCAGTTAGCCATTACCACTCAAAACAAACAAACAAACAAAAAAAGGTAATTTTTTGTCTATGAGTAATTGTGAGTTACTTCCTGATCAAAAGAAATCAAAGCCCATATGGATCCTAAAAGACAAATGGAACATTACAAATTAGAAAATTACAATATGTTGCAGCATAAGTCTGGTGTGTTCACTTTCTGAATAACACATAGACATGAAGTTGGTTTCATTGTCTTAAAATTTATAGTAGAAAAGATAGAGTAAAAATCAACAGGAATAACACTGTCATAACTGGAATAATAGTGAAGAATGGCTATCATAGAAGTAGGCTACAACTAGGACTTTCCAGTCTGGTAAAAGGAGGAGATGGATTTGAAGACAAAATTTGAATAATGAATGAGATAATGTGAGTAGGAAGTCATTAGTTATTGCTTCTTAAAGAACTAGGAGGGATTAAAGGAGAAATAAAGAGGTCTTTACACTGACCATAACTACAGGTTGCTAAGGATGCCAAGATGCACAGGTTCAAAAAGTGATAAAAATTAGTAGTTACTCCAAGCCCATTGAGGTTTACTTATAGAAAAATGCTATTGTGAACTCCTGAAGTCTCTACATCACATATTTCCTGAAGCTGGGAGGATATACTGGGAAAAGTAC